ACAAGGGGATATAGGGTTTAGGGTTTAGGCTTCAGGGTTTAGGATATACTGTTATATAGGGATCATTTAGGGATTACTTAATGGCTTTAGGGACATTAAGCCTAAGATGAATGATATGACCAACATCAGGGGATACATAGGGTTATTTACGGATTAAAAAGAGGCTATAGGATATTCTCCCGACATTATAGTATATGTGTATATATATACACACCAACATAAGGAGGTATATCCACCATGGTTTTTCCAGGGTCAATGGGAGATGTTACCCCAATATGTAAGGATAATAGAAGAATGGAAGCTACCATTCCGGGTTTAGGGTCATCGGGGTATGTATCCGCAATACTTGAGAATGAAAGGGACAAGAACATGGACAATGAAATGAAAAGGGTTTATGTAGGGTTTTATGGGGGAGTCGGGTCGGGTTTCTTGCGGCGCCTGGGAGTTGCTATAAGAAGGATAATCGTAGATTAGGGTCTATGTCTGGGCCCCCTATTTATGGAAACCCCAATGTGGATGAAGAAGCAGTATTCACATGATTAGTTCTGGTAGCGGGACGAGCAGCGGAAGAAGTAGTACCTCTCTACTTGCTGCCATTCAGATGCACGGCAAGTACATTTGGCACTAGAAGTAATCAGATGATATCTAGAACTGTACATACATGTACAGATATGTGCACATATGGAAGACATATATATATATATACATATATATATATATATGCGCACATATATATATATATATGTGTGTATGCACACAAAATATACATACACATGTACATCTACATTACATGCGGCATTTGACGATATGAAGACAGGGGCTCATGACAGGCTCTGAAGCCGGTGCGCGAGGACGTGTGGGCCTTTCCGGGCTTAGGCTTCTGGGAAGGTCTAGGGAGTCTAGAGTTTTAGGGATTTAGGGCTTGAGGGTTTTGGGGTTTGGGGTTTGGGGTTCAGGGTTAGTAGGGAATGAGGGAATAGAATCAAAATATTAATTTTCTTTTGTTCCTTACCAAGGCTCAGTAAGAAGGTGTTTTCATCTAAGGGGGCTTTTAAAGTGATTCGGGACCCTTAGGGGTACATATAGGGTACATAGTAGGTATATAGGGATCCCAGGGTGAAGGGCCTGTAAAAGGGGCCCCTGGTTTCTGTTTTGATCTCTCCAGGTTGAGAATGGCGGCCAGGTGGTTTGGAAGTAGGATTGTTGTGCAGGACTGGGCGCAACACATCCGAGTTCGCACACGTAGTCCTTTTTCAGTACCCATGGCTGATTTCTGTGACTTGTCAAAGAGGTCACTCGCTGCTTTACAAAGCTCCGAGTGCTTGATCCAAGATTGCTTGTGGAAGAAAGAAGCTGTATTTTGCAAAAGTGGCATCGCCAGCGTCAGCAGATAAGAGCAATAGCGAGTGCTGCATGAGCAGAGCTTATGGTCCGCCATGCTTGGAAGTTCAAAATCTGGCCTGCGGGCACCCTTGCTTGATAAGCATGGCGGAGGGAATCCTCACAGGCCCCGACGAGAGAAGTCATATTATCAAAGCGTCAAGCGAGCATAGCTGGAGATTTTCCAAGATCTCGATGTAGAGGGTTTATGCCCACAACAGTCCAAATACCAGAGCACATAACCAACATGCAGCTCTCATAATCGCGTAGCAGCAATAATGTTGGAACCATGCTGGTAGTCACGCAGATAGCAGGAAACTCACTCCTAGTACTTGCACTTTTTTCTGCTTTCAAAGCTACACTGAGTCACAGCGAGGTCCAGCAGATGATTGACAAGACGAAGGCTGAACGCTTCGAAGATCTCTTTGTCCGAACTCTGGATGCTCGGCTGTGACAGTCACCAGTGAATGTTGACTTGAGAAGCGCTGACCTGTAGCTTCCTAGCAAAGTCAAATTCATCATCACAACAGAACCTTCTCTACTTGCTTGGTTTTAGCATCACGGTTCACGGGCGACTGCTGCCAAGCATTGACTGACTGTTCCGAGTGCCCCAAGAATTCACAGCATGTGATACTGCTCACAAAATCAGTTGTTTTCAAGCAGGTTGCTTGATACTTGGCGAGCTATCTGAGGAGATGCGGCAGCAGAAGCTCTCCAACACAGCCTCCACCTTAGTATGTGATCGCCAGTGACTGATGCAATTAAAGGTGCCAGATCCGAGTCGAAGAAGGTATGGCCCGAAGAGGGCAAACAAATCTGAGATGTAATGTGTATAGTAATGGAAAAGAAAATGGAAACTACTGTCGTATATAGAGGTTATATAGCGATAATGAAAAATAAAATGGAAGTTTTTCCCCCCGTGCAATGTAAGCTGTCCATGCTGCATCAGGCATTTCTCTGACATGAGGCTCCTTCCGAGCAGATGGATGAGAAAATGACAATGCAGACAGAGTCTCTTGGCTGCTCCAACAACGGAAGCGGGGCTTCTGTTCCTGAGACTGAGGTTGATTCTGGCATGGGGTACAGCATGGGCCGAAAGATAAAAAGTACGTGGTCTCATGAAGCGAACTCGCGGCTCTTGTTGTTTTAGGTGTTCTCCAGGTTGGGTTGCTTTCAATCCCTTGGAGGCAAACGCAGTTGCAGTCGATGCACACGTGTCAAACCAACTCGCAAGGCACAAAAGGCTCCATACGTGATCGGAAATTCTGCATCAGCCACGGATCAGCATCTGCATGTGAACCTGCAGCGTCAAAGACCAGTGCGAGACCTCTTGCCTTCTTCGTGCTGACTGGAGGCCTGAGTCTGCCTGTGGCGACTCTGTCGCACCCTCCCACGTTGGAGGCCGGGGGAAGCGTGACATTTTGCAGGCAGCCTCTATCCTCGCAGATGTAAGTTGGTTCCCTCCTCCACTTCCATCGCTTAAGTGAAGTGCACGCGCTATGCGTAGGAGTATGCAGGGTTGAGGCATGGCGATTTCTCTTGAAGTGGACTGCATTCAGCAGGTGAAAGCACGAGCGACTTCGGCTCGGATGTTCAGAGGACCAAGGCTGGACAAGGGGAAGCCCGAGATTTGTTCGCGCAGCTGCAGTCGTGCTTGCAGTGCAAAAGCATGCAACATTGCCATGTTAGCAGTGTTCTCCAGACCTTGAAGTGACACGAAAAAGCTCCTGTGCGGCGTCGAGACCTGTAGGTTCCTGAAGAGCTGCTGTTGCGCGCTGCCTCAACACTAAGCCTCACTAAGCCCACTCAAGCATGCAGGAGAAAGACAAGGCGCTGTCTGTTCCCATCGAAAAGGCCTGCAAGAGCACATGCTTTAGCTCTGCCTGCTGCCGCTGGGAAGGGCGGATCACACAAGATGCCGCAGTTGGAAAGCTCACAAGCACAGCCTCCACCGCCACGAAACTTCCCTGCCGTAACATCACAGTGCTTTGCCGAGGACCCAAAAGTCACCAGACATGACCAGACAAAGAACACCCTGCTTGACAAAGAACTTTGCTTGAGCCTTCGTTTTATTCCAGGTGAGGGCGGACGTTCGCACCTTGGAGGGCGAAATCGGGTCCCTGCGGCGGCTGCTGGGCGACATGCGCGCCAATGCTGCAGCGGCCGGGCCAGGGAGAGGGGAAAAGAGACAAAATGGAACAGTAAGATTGAGAGGGATAGAGTGTGCCAACCTAGGGGGTAGAGTCTACTATCTGGCTCTAGGACATGGTCAACAGTTGACTTTTCCAGTTTGGTATTGCTTCGATTTTGCTGCAGAAGCAACTGAGCTTCTAGGGGCCTATCCGTCTCGTGGGGATTTATTGTCTTACTTGACATGTGTGTAGCAATCAACCACAACAATGTGCAGAGCGCAGTGCTGTTCGACCTTGAGAGGTCATCTGCAACCACCTACGTCAAGCAGAGAAGTCGGCAGGCCGTAATTGGTCGGCCAAGGAGGCCAAAGCCCAATAAGAGTGTTGGAAGTTTTGAAAGTTCAGGGTAGGGAACGAAGGAATGAACGAAAACATGGAGACTGCCAAATTGTTGGAGATTATACAGCGAACCTGCATGCATTGATTGTTTTTGGGGACAAGTCTGTGCAAAGTTAAGGGAGCTTACAGTGTTCATGGGGGTTCGGCAACCGCTCCAGAATCTTGCCTTGGCACACCGCCGATGAGTGCGCGTTTAGGAATGCTCTTGGTGAAATCAAGACATGCCTGGTACGGTTACTGCCGATGTTAGGCATGACTACAACTTTCAATGCTCATATCAATCATAGTCACCTAGTGATCATGGAAGGAGAGATGGTCATGACACTCACATAACTCGCAGTAGTACTCAACGCACGAATGCAAGCAACGGCAACAGCAGGGACATTGATCGTCGTCGATCGTCGTGATACTGGCAGCAGCAGCAGCAGCGGCAGCAGCAGCAGCAGGAGCAGCAGGATAGTTGTCGCAAGCGCAGCGAGAGTACAAGTAGTCTAAGTCATCCTAGCAATCAAGGAGAAAAAGTCGTGATACTTGGGAAGCCCCGAACCCCAACCCTAAACATCTAAATCCTGCCTACCTAAGCTGTCAACCTGCACTTTTCACCCTGCAAGTGACATCACCTGGAGGCCTCTGCCTGGGGCCACAGGATGCTGTCCCTCCTGGTCTCGGAGGACTTTGCCACCACGACGATGAAGGAGCTAAACCACAGAAGCCGTGTCTCCTTTGATGTAGGAGCCCTTTTGGTTTTCTACAGACGTTCTCTAGAGGTTAATTTGGGTATTACTTATGGGTTCGTATGGAGCGAATGCTTGACAAATCATGGAAAATCATGGGACTCACAATGACGAAGGATGACTCCCACAAAGTTTGTGCAGAGCTGAATTTCCCGTTTGGTTGTGCGTACCAGAATGCGCTCTTGCGATGAGAAGAGAGCGTAAGGCGTGAAGGCTTGGCTTAGAGTTGAAGAGGGGCGGGGGAGAGAAGGCGCACTTGGGGTTAGGCTTGTTGTCAAATTCATGTCTTCTAGTGGCATTTTCTTGGCAAAAACGTAGCCTGTCTGTCCTTGTGGCGCTCAAGAGCGTTTCTCTCTTGGCTACCACATTGGTTGCTAAACAAAGCGGACTGTCAAGAGCTATGATGTGTGTCTTGCAGCAGAGTTTGCATGGTCTCAGAGAGCCGGCATGATGGCAGGCCCTGGTGGTGGTGGTGGTGGTGGTGGTGGCGGCGGCGGCGGCGGCGGTGGTGGTGAACGTGCTAAACCTACCTGTGGACGGTACGGCTTGGAAACAAGATATGACAAAGGGTCCCCATTTGGGACATTGTCTACGCAGTGCAATGACCAGACATGGCATAAGAGCTTTGTCCAAAGAAATGGCGGCTTAAAGGCGTAACAGTTTTGTTGCATCGCAGCCCAGCAAAAGTCGACCATGGGTTGCATCCGACCAAGATTGAGCCGTGCCAAATTCTTGCGACACAGTCTTGCAGCATCTTGTTCAAGGCATGACCCTTCACCTCACACTCTGAACCCAAAACCAAGTTAAGCCTTGAGTCCTGCGAAGGAGCTGCAAAAGTTGGCGCCCACGGCCATCAACCCGGGAGAAGGGCGGCAGGGGGCAGGGTCGGTCAAGATACAGAGTTTCGGGTTTCAACCTGGTAAGCATTGCTGTGGGGGAGCAGGTAGGGGGCAGTGGGTTGAGTCTGGAACTGTCTAAGCCAGATTTGGGAGCGCCGAGTTGAGAATTGAGTTGGCGCAGCCAAGCGTGCAGGGTTTGTGGCTGCACTTAGAATTTTTCATTTTGTCGCATGTACCTAGAACTGCGCTCTTGCCCAGAAGGTTTGCAAGACGGATGTTTGGCCGCTGTCAAGAGTTGTCGATGGCTACTGTGCTTTCTGATTGTGTGCTCAGTCTGAGGCGATATTAACTCACTGAGCCGACGTTTCACACCAACCTCGCCGTGAGCTGCAGGCAGCATGTGTAGTTTACAGCAGGCCCCAAGCACAATGGTGAGCGCCAGCTGGCAATACTAAGGTTAGGGTTTAGGGCGTAGGGAATAATGGAAAATGGAAACTACTACAATATATTGGGGACAAGCAAAAACTGGGCTACCATGCGCTGGGTTCTCAAAGTTGGGTTTCGCCTTCATGGCTCCCTGGGAATGCGGATCCTAGCTTGATCGACCCGCTGGCCGAGTCCCGCAAAATGGGGGCCATGGGGCACGGCCGCAGTTTGAAAAAACCCTAAGTTCCTCCCCTGCAACCACCATAGTAACCACTCAGTAACAGATTTCATTGATCATGTTCACTGCTTGTCTTGGAGTCCCGAGGTGCTAGCATCACTCAATAGCAAAGTAATTGACATGAAGTGTCACTTGCCTGCCAGCGCCTGAAAGGCAATGGCCGGTTGACGTCACTGCGCAAAGCGCCGTGAATAAAACTAGTGAGTTTGAGGTCCTAGCGACGGCTTCAGGACTTGAGACTTGAGCAGGTTGGTACGACTCCATTGCTGAGGCATATAATGAGGCTAGCCATTGTTCAAGTTGAGCGTCTATGACTGCGGGGCACGGAATGATACGGCATGGGTGTACATCAGGTCCTTGCACAGAGAGCGTTGGTCTTCTTACTTTGCAGCAAGAACCTGACAGAAGAGCTTCCAAGGCAAAGGTTCATGGGAGTCGTGTGGAAACCAAGCACTTGAATGGCGTCAGCAGTTCCAAACGAAAACAACCTTGCCAAACGCCACGCACAAAAAAAGAAACAACGAATGCACAACACAAGACGTCGCCAAATGAGAAAGCACAAAACGGTGATAACCTTTATGCCTAGCTTACAAAACCAAGAAGAAAACGTAATGAAGTAGAAAAGGAGTGTTTACGGACAATGATCATAGGCCTGGATGTGGTTCAGAAAGCCACGATTCCAACTTGACTGATGCATTTTCTGCTGGTGGTAAGGGCAGAATAATCGTTGATAAGCCTCCAAACAAAATGACATTCACCTCAAACCCGGTGCTGATATAGTCCCCCTTAGGTGGATAGAATATGGGGTCTATGGGGATCTTATTACAATATATCCAAAGCCATATTCTATATACTTAAGACGGACTATACTGCGATGGCATGCCTGCCATCCGCTGACACATGCACAGCCAAATGGCGAAACCCCACGTCGCAGTTGACTGCAAAGACTTGCCTGAATGTTAGGGTAATGTTGGGATGATATTGGGTTATTATTGGGATAATATTGGGTTAATATAGGGATAATGGAAAAGACAAGAGAAGCATCGAGGTGATACTGGGGCTACAGGTCCATGAGCCTCACTGGCGCAATGCTGTTTGCTAGAGCATTTGGGAATTCCCAGCAGTTCCGTTCCAGCTCTTCACATGACACATGACCTGCGTTGGATGGCGCAGCAAGAAGTTGCTCCAGACTGTCTAGACTTTCCAAAAATGTCAGCTTGAAAGGAAAGCCCAACAAAATGGCCAAACCTTCCAGATTGCAGTCGTAAAGCGCCCGCAATCCTTGCTTCAATTGCTGAACGTGTCTCATCCGCTTTTTGCAACTCGTTTCGGCAACTCGCGCACAGTGGTGAAAAGCTGATCCCTTTTTTCAACGGCATCACCTCTCCCAGCCCTGCCTTGAGAGAGCGTGCAATGTCCGCGCGTGGCCGATCGGATGGAGAGTCCTCTTCGGACTACGAACAGGACAGCTGTTCTTTGCGCCTTCGAGTCACAGCTTGTGGTATGGAGGTGCAAGAGTTCAAGAGCCTAGCAGACTTGCAGTTCCATGCATGTCGGGCAGGAAACATGTTTTGATGCAAAGCAAGCGACAAGTTTGTGTAGACGACGGAGTGTGTAAGTGTTCTTCATGCATCTTGAAACTCTAAGACCAGTGAAGCCTACCGCAAGGATTGGGATGACCTAGAACGTGACTCGATGCGAGCTGCTGGACATGAAGCATTTCTTTTCTCTAGATCCTGTGGTATTGCAGAGAGCTTTGGGAAAGTCAGGTGGCTTTACTTCGCCTGTTGAGGGACCTCTTATAGGTTGGTTGGACGGATATTTGGAACTCTGTGGCATGCTCTGCTGGCTTTTGGGTGGGCTGTTTGTGCTGGCCTGAGTGTTCAAATTGTACTCCCATTTGTTGAAGTCGTGTCGGTTTTATGCTGGTGTTTCCCCTAAGAGGGCGAGTGCTCCCGCGGAAGTCGTATCAAGTCAGCGTTCAAAGGGGGTTTGGGGGTCACATGGGATCTAGTTAGAATGACTATATACACTCTGAGCAACAAACATGGATTTTCGTTCTCTGGGAGTACAACTTTAGTACTGGAACGGCCGTTCTCGGCGACCATGATGGTTTCAGGTCCTGGATTCTTATCACACGGCGTTCACTTGGGGACCCGACACAATTCCGTACTTGCAACAGCCGAAACGGCAATCCCATGTATTATCATGTAAAGCCAGCGTTGACTGGGGACTTGCCCACCATCTACTACCGCGGGAACTTTGATAGGACTAGCGTTTGCATGAGGATTCAGAAGTTGTTGTTTTGACTTAGGAAACAGCATGCTCATTTATTGAGCGTTTACATGGGGCGCAAAAATTGATGTGACTTTTTGGGGTTGTTGACGGGCAGCGTTCCTTGGGGATTCGATTTCAGATCAAAAGTTGATGTGACTTTAACGTTTAGGTGTACGGGGCAAGGCTGAACTCCCTGCAGCGGGTTCTGATTTGGACTGCCTTGTGGTGATGGTTTTGAGAAAAGTGAGAAGTCGCTGCAGTCAAAGCGAGCTGGCAAGTTTGAGGCAAGTCTTCAAGGTATTTCAAGGTTGTGATGCTGGGGGGCTCTACGTAACATGCGAAAATTGACAGCTAAGGCGCTGGAGGCACGTTTGGCACAGCTGGACCATGCTGGCCAGGCCAAACCCACCTGAAAGTAGTATTTGGGAGATACTATGGTACCCAATAATGGAGAATCAAATGGAAAAGAAAATGGAACATGAAATGGAAGCTGGGATTATATAGGGGTTATAAGTTGCAATCCGCGTAAACTTCATTCAGCCGGTCCACATCGGACATGTGATGTCTGAACCAATGCGTCCGTTCAGAGTGCATATATGTCCTTGCAGGCAAGTGTGAAGAGCACGTCGAGTTCAGCTGCAGCGAGCAGCAAAGACCCAAGAGGCCCCACTCAGGGCCCCACTAAGAGCCTCTTGGCAGCACTGTGCCATTTTTTCACCCTGCCCGAGCTGTTGCTTTGATGGACGCTGCGAATAAAATGACGTCAGGAGATGATATACAAGGAATTGCCCCTTTTGCAAGGATAGATGGTTCAAAAAAAGAACCCAATCCGAACTGGATTGGGCTTTCACTAAGAGCCCTCCCATGGAAGCGTTATTTCTTCTTGTAACCTTCCTGTTCGCTCTTTAATCTTGCTAAGGTTATCTACCAGGCCCACATGATGACCTCAGGCGCTACCTCCAACTTTCCTTGAAGCTTGGGGCTGCTGCAGCTTTAGATTCTGGCATGCTCGCAGGCTTGTTGTGCTTTGCCTTTGTTGATGCCCCCTTGGGGGGCCTTCACCGTTCAAGATACCTCTCTGCCCAAAGCCAGGCAAATGCGGGACGCTGTTCTGAGTGAGCCTTACCGGCCGGAAGACCATGTCCTAACCAACGAGGCTGTGGGAGCTGTACTGGCTTGTTGACTGCAGGCTTTAGTGTGGCAGTATGCAAGCGGTCGGACACATCTTACCCAAACTTTGCCAGACGCGGCCCTACGAGCTAGCAAGTTTACCGTCCAGATATTCCCGCTACTAGTGGACACGATATGCGATATGATGAGATGGCTCCAGAAAAGTTGATGTCAGTAAGAGATTTGACGCAGGAGATGTGGGCCGGCTTTTCATCTGAGGACCTGTACCTTGGGTCCTGGTGTGGCTGATGCTGCCGGAAATCACACCCTCCTCAGCTCTAGGGGGAATGTCTCAAGCGAATGTCGGTCCAGATGAGTTGTCAAATCAGTTTCCATCAGACGTTGATGACAATTTCAGATCCGGACATGTGCCCCTGAGGAGGAAGCTGTGGAAGCGCCACTGGTGATGGAAGTCCCGCCTGCAACAAAGCAGGCCACTATTACTATTCCTATCACTATTACTATTACTGTTACCATGACTGTTACCAGTAGTATTACTAGTTAGTGTTATTGCTGTGACTGTTAATTCTATCCTAAGATCGTCAAGCTCTTACCCGTCAAGCCAGGTAGTGCTTCATGCAGACAATATACGACCTAGGACAGCTTTGACAAGGCGAATAGGTCGCCCCAAGTCTGATTGGCTGTTGGAGACATATGCAGATGCATATAAGTGCATAGAAGGACTCATAGAAATATTCGATCCCAAGAATATTGCACATCTGGAGACAGTCAAACGACAGGCTATTCAAAGGCTGGATCCTTTCTAGTGCCAATGCTGGCGCACCAAGGCTTTCAGCCTTCTCCAGGTAATACGTGAGGTAATCCTATCACAATTGACGTGGTGTTTTGTTTGAGTCACATGTACGTACATAGTTCTTGCCCTCTGAAGTTCACTCTGCCCGGTTCTGGTGGGAGCTCACAGTGCTTGCTAGAAGAAATTGTTTTAGGAAATTTACATTTTGAAGTCTCTCGCTCGCCACACGCATGCATCTGCCATCCTTACGCCTGACTACCTAGCTTACTGTTGTTAGTATTGTTCATTTTCAACAATTGTCATGGTTCTTATTGCTGCTAATCATAGTATTATTACTAGGAACATTGCTATTTTGGCCAGGGCGCCCCGGAGTCAAAGCATTTCTCGCCGGAGCCAGCTGTGCAGCTGAAGGAGCAGCTGGTAGTTTCCCAAATTGTTGGTACTATGGACTCATTAACCTTTAGTTGGGTCTGTGAAGCCGCCAGATGGAGA